AAACTTGACGTAGATGCTTGATCGATAAACCAAACTCCCCCTTCAAAGGGGTACAGTGGGACAAGACCTATCCGGAGTCTTGTCGCGATCTACCAATGGCGTCTCACGTCTGAAGGCAAATCGGAGGTTCAAAAATGGAGCCCAAACCATTTCTTCTTGCCGCACAGCTACCATGACTTCCAACAAACACGAAAACTCCTTACTGAGATCAAAGGATGCCTAAGGTCGACACCCTGGAGAAACCCCGGATACAGAACCACAAACGTGATCTCGACCTCCGAGACTCTATTTCACTGGGTTTTATGGGCAGCTGGTTGCGAGCTGGGAGTTGCCAGTGCCACCATCGCTGTTCCAGCGACTACACTACTGGCCACCATACTCATAACCAGCCTGTTGGCTACATAACGTTAATGGTTGCAGAACTGGCAGAAGCGCATCATTTCTGATTTCCAGTCGATGGCGATCAAGCAAAAAACACAAAATGTAGGTTTGTCTATCTGGGTGTCTGAAGTCTTCTTAGCAGGGATCACGAGACGAAGCGCAGGCGATGCGGGAAGCACATGCTTTGTCATTCAAACTTCAAGGGCACCACTATACTTCGAACCCGAAGGCCGAGCCTGCCAATGCGAAACTCTACACCGTAACACCCAGGCCTTAAGTCTTCTCAAGGATACGTCATAACATTTCTGCTTGTTTCAAAGCATCTCACATGTCCATGCGGTGTCACTTTCGTGCTGTTCGTGGCCTCCGATGTAGATGACATCGGGGAAGCGTGTGACGGTCATTCCTCCCGGTAGATTTATGATACGCAGCTCCCTAGTAAGAGAGGAAATGAACAGACAACTTGTAAATCGAACGAAAATCGAAAACCGAATGAAATTCAAATAACAACAAAAAGGAAATCATCGATGGGCCAGAAAGATCGAAAAAAATCAAATCGGTGCCCGGGGTGGGGGGGGAGCCAATGTTCGATTTTTATCCAGGTTTCATGCGATGTTGTTTCGGTTTTCTAATGGTGACTTCGAATAAAAATCATAAATCATCGAATACCAAGCGAAAAATCGAAATCATCGAGGCACCGGAAGAATCGCAAAACAAAAATCGTATTAAAATAACATCGAAAAAATTCAAATGGGTACTCGGGGCGAGGGATCTGAAAGGCGGCCTGGGGCGCATGGGGTTTGTGTTCGATTTGTCTCCTATTTCTGATCGATTTTCAAGTGGTGACTTCGAACAAAAATCATGAAACCATCGAATAGAAAGAAAATAGAATTCGAAACCATCGAGGCTCCAGAAAAATCGAATAAGAATCGATAAAAAACAGATGTTTACTCGGGGCGGGGGACCCCAAAGGCGGCCTGTGGCGCGGGGGGACGTCGTCGGCACGTGTAACAACCGTTGCATTGGCCATGATGTCTGCACCCATTCGTACTTGCGCTTGGGCCGAAACGCAACTTCGGCATGAATCGGCTTGTATTGGGGAGCTTGATGACCTCAACCCCTGGCAGTTTGCCACAATGGCAACCACGAACGGCGCATGGCGTCGATGCGAGAACTCCAATGGCTTGACGGCTTGACAAAGCAGTCAAAATATGCCAACTTTAGAACACTGAGTGGTTGAATCTCTTGCATCCATACCTGGCGGGTGGCATCTGAAATAAACCACTGCCCGGTCATATGCAGCAAGCAACATAGCAAGAACCACGAGTAGTTTGTACAGCATGGGCCCGGCCTCCGGCTCTCTGTGGTCCGCAGGGCACGGGTCTTGCGTGACGTCTAAAGACTTTGGCTCCTTCTGAGTTGTGGTTGATGGCTGGCTCAAACATGCCCATCCGGCTTGCAAGCAACAGCGGCAATAGCCACAGCGTCACAAGAAAGTAGATATGACATCAGCAGCAGCAACAGTAGCAGCAACAGCAGAGAGGCAACATGAACAGTTAAAACCAAACATTCTTGATGCGGTCTTCCTCGCTTTGTCACTCCGCCCGCCTCTGCGGATAAATAACACCCCCCCACATGACCCCACGGAACAAAGGTATTCTACCCCCAGCAAGCCAAAATCAAACAAATAACGATATGCTGATTCGAAGCTTAGGTGCAATTTCCTCCGCGTGGATTGCCGCAAGCCGAAAGCACGGTGACGCAACGGGGGGTTGGGTGGCGGCCCCTCAACACATAGATCAGGAACCATGGGGCCCAGTTTGGGTGTGTGCTTGGACGCTTTGTTCCGAAGCACCTGTCCCTCCTTCCGCCTCTTGCCCATCTAGCTCCTGACTTGACTACTGGTGTTTCAAAGATTTCGAATATTCAGCAGAATCAGACCGCGAAGATGGGCTTGTGCAGCGCGCACGTTTGCGAGCCCCTCCACGTCCTGGGCAGCCGGGGCAAGCTGCACCGCTTTGCTGTACATGTCAAGCCCGCTCATGTCGTTGCGCACGTAGCAGACCGCTCGCCAACACAACATGGTAAAGCTGGAGGATGACGTCTTTGCGCGACATGGGAAAACTGTGATCGAGCCTTCTAGAATTTAAGCCAAAGGGTTTAAAGTGAGCAGAACCTTAAGTCCAACATCATAAAAACTTCCTAAGTGTAAGCCCTGAACCTAGCCCTGAACTTTTGCTTGAAATCTCGAGGATTTGAGTGCAGGTTTTTGAGCTCGGACCGGACGCCTCAGAAATCCTGCCTAAGCCACCCCTACAGAGTTGCCGTCTTTTTTCAGTGAAAGCTGCACTTTCCTATGCTGGCAACCTTCGAGCAATCCCGCATCCAAGAGTAAGACCGTAAGAGCTCAATTACCAAGCGGCAGTACTGGTACCACACCATTCTCAACACGGCCCTCTCGCCCACATCAGGACCTCCAGAGTTGTGGTCGGGGCGGCGCGGCTTTACCTACTTGTCGGGCATCATGGGGAACTAAAGGTTAACCTTCTGGGTTATATAGGGATTATATAGGGACTATACTACCCCAAAAAAGGTTACAGGTTACCTACTCTACTACTAGGTTTAGGGAGTGGCTTGAGATCAAAATTCGGCGTTTGAGTTGCACTGGAATAGCCTGAGGCAAAGCTAATGCAGGGACTACATTGAACTCCTCGTTGCGTTTGATGTGCGAGAGGCATCAAGGGATCCACAATAACCCAGCGTGCTAATTGTCACCCATGCGTTACCTAGATTAAAGCTGTGTTTGAGACGTGCTTGGCGTTATGATGCGGGAGCTTCCGAAGGACCCCAAAATGTGGTATCCCTAATTTTCGGAAACTCCCCATGTGCCGGCTGCATCTGTGTGAAGCCCCACGCCTTCCACCCGAACTTGTCTGATACAAAGAGCCTAGTGATCAACCCTAAACCCAGAGCCTCCAAAACCCTGTAATCAGGAAATAGACCTTAAATCATATGAGGGATCCTACTATGTTTCAAGGCATATTCCTTAATTAAGGGGGTTTTGGGGTCTCTTGGAACCCTAAAACCCAAAACCCTAAACCGGGCCTTGCGGCATCCTACCGTAGTCCGGGATACGAGCACCGAAGCTGTGTCCATGTTACACCTTCTTCGGAAGTGCTGACTCCACAAAGCCTGAATTCAGGATCCATGGCCAGGAACCCTTAAAAGGCTTCCAGGGGTATTAGGGTTCAGGGTATAAGGCCTCGGCTGTGAAATGTCCAGGAAAAAAACCTCACAAAAGCCCTCTAGCAAGTGCTTTATGTCAGCGGAGCCTGCGCAACACATAGAGGGAAGACCAGCTAAGGCTTAAATCCCCAAAACTTCCCTAAACCCTAAACCCTAAACCCTAAACCCTAAACCCTAAACCCTAAACCCTAAACCCTAAACCCTAAACCCTAAACCGCCTTCAAGTAGCTGCCTAGACAGAAGACCCGGAGTTCACCCCAAACCCCTGAAACTCGTATTGAAGCTGGAACATTACTATCCTGAGGCCGCTGGGGCAAAGTATAAGGGATCCGAGCACTATGCAGCCGCAATGCATGTACCATACTTCTGAAGTTCACTTAGGACCATAAACCTTAAACCCTAAACCCAAAGCCTTAAAACCCTAAACCCTAAACCTTAAACCAGAGATGGCTGGGAGAAGAGCCATCAAAGCCGCCAGATCTCTTGCGCTCCAACATTTGCCTCGTGCAGCTTTGGGCATGCTTGGCGTATATAGGGGTTTAGGCGGTTCAGGGGTTAGGGTTAGGGGTTTGGGGTTTAGGGGATAAGGGTTTAGGGGTGTGGGGTGAAGGGGGTTATGGTCTGAGTGGGAGCAACGTAGGTTTGTTTGGATAGGGGAGTGAAATCTTGTGCTACTAGGAACCATCGGGAACATTTGTATTTTAGATATTGTGGAGTTTTGAGCAGGCTCTAACACATCCCGTCTGTTTCACTGGGATCGTGATCTTCAGACAGGTTGTCAGGAGGCTGGTTATCCTCATGAGCCATTTCCAGCCGTCTTCACAACTATCTACTGTAGCGCCCCTTAGTATCAGGACTAACACAGGGGGATAGAAGTTACTTGTATCAGTTCAGACCTCAAAAGCCAGTCCTTTACAATCGCAAGCCTATCAGGCCGCTCTGGCACCAATAGCTGCTCGGCATGTCTTCGCATCAAGCTCTTCAGGCATAGAACCATGAGGACAACCATGTCGGCTGCTAGCAGGCCTATCATAACTAATCGCTTCTAAATAACGATAACCCTTCAGACCCATTGCTGCTCCTGTTTCTCTCCGGGATTTCTTGACCGGTTGGACCCGTTGTGAAAGAACAGCTTCTCTACAAAGCAATATGTTCGGCTACGCCAGGACACATCGCAGCTTCTGCACAACAGCACATCAACCAGTGTTGCAAGAACACGTAGCGCCCAAGAACTTCATCTGTACAACTCACGGCAGTATCCGAGCAACGGTACCCAGAGCGAACTATGTGACGAACTCAAAGCTCAAACCTTCTGCCTAGCAGAATGCCATTGAGTCAGAGCAGATTGCAGCAATAAGCGGATCTCTAGCGCACTAGGTCACAAGGATCAAGTTATTGTGAAAGGTGCGAGGTGAGGCTGATCTCGATAGGGTTCTCGTGAACGCACCAGTTCCCAACTCCTCCGGTTCCTCCAACTCCAGGAAGGTGTTGTGAATCACTAGCGCCGGGGCTCTTGGGGGAGTCGGCACCGCCCTGTACAGAGGCTGCTGCATGCGGAGGCCCCTGTCTGTGCGAAAGCGGGGCTCTGCATGCTCACTCATGCCTGGTGCCGTTTGACCCCCGTTCGCACGTCGATACGCCGACTTCTGCAGCATGTAAGCATTGTAGAAGCGATCCTTCACACGCTGCCACTCATGGTCTGGAACTGCGCACTGGTAGTGCTGTAGCTCTTGCCCATCCAGGGACTGGTGCATGTCCACATGCTCACCAAGTCTTTCCAAGAAGAGCATCAAATAGTCCGAGAGAAGGAAGCTGCTGCTGCCAACCATGCGGGGCTGGTAGCGGCACCTCAATACTTATTTAGAATAGGATTCTTGGAGCCCATTCTCTACTATAGTTATAGCAAGGACCCCCCCGGAAAATACCCCCCCAAAAATGGAAAAGGTAGTTATTTAGGCCCCTATATAGCAGCGGCACCAATACGCCAGCCCATGTCTTCGTCCCGCATCGATGGTCGTCACTTCCTCCACGTCCTCGGCACTCTGCTCCGACACTGGCACAAACGGTCGCCCCCTTGGCCAACTGTGGATGGTAAGGACGACGTAGAACTGCTGATCCAGGCGCCTCATCTCCTGTCAATAGTAGATCCCCTAAAGGAGCCCTTATAGATCCCTATTTTGGTAACTTAAACTGAATTCCTTATAAACTCCCTGGTGCCTAGTAGGGCAGGGGGGCATGGACCCCTATAGTCGTCCCCATATAAACCCCAATAATAGTCCCCATAACCCATTCCCGCATTCCCTAGTAAGCACCAGACAGTCTCCTCCATGCCCGGATGGTTTATGTGCCAGAGCATCAGTGCTCTGGCCGAGGTGATCACGCTTTGAATCGGCACGGAAACCCAGTCAGCAACAGTGGGCACTGCCAGGGTCAAGGAAATCGACACAAGGCCTGGCTCCTTCTGCCGACGGCCATGAGCGAAACCACAGAAGGGCTGGGGATGACCTCGGGCGACAAGGATACTGTCGCCCATCTCCGGATAGTTGTGCCGAACCGCTTGGTACATAAGCTCCTTCTTTGTGGGGAAGTGGAACGTTAGGCTATCACCCTCCTCCTTGTGATGCAAGGAGAAGAAGACGTTGCACAACTTGAAGAAGCCTCGTCTTCAACAACCGGGCCCCCAAGAAGTTCAAACTTTCTAAGACAGAGCTAATATCAAAGGCCAGAAAGTTTAAAGTTCCCCCTTTCACGATCGAAGAAGCGCGAGAATGCGTTGTTCATGATCATCGCTTCGCCAGATCCAAGTTGCTGCACCACCTCAAAGCCCTCTTCATTCAGCTCGGAACGGTCCTGTATTAAAAAAAGTAACTACAACACTATTCGTTAAAATAGCCTCATATAGAGCCCTTATAGTATTCCTCATAGGTCCTGTAGAAAAAATAACCCTAGGGCTCCGGATACCTAAATAGTCGGTTACTGGGGTACATAACATATGGTTAGGAACCTACTTTTTAGGTAACTGGAGCCTTAGGGTAAGATAAAAGTAACTATACGGCAATAGTCATGAATGTAGAGCCCTTATAGTATTCCTCATAGATCCACTTTTAAAGCACACGTTAAAGGAACCCCTTAAAAACGCCCCTATATTACTAGTGGTCCTGTAGAAACCTGCCCCGGGGGTCTGGTCGGACGAAGAGCTGCGAGTTGTCTGAGAAGTTGTTGATCTTGAGATTCTGGCCTGAGCTTTGGTCATAGGGGCCTTAATAATTAGAATAGGGTTCCTTAAAAGGGGCCTTAGTAATTAGAATAGGGTTCCTTAAAAAGGGGCCTTAATAATTAGAATAGGGTTCCTTAAAAAGGGGCCTTAGTAATTAGAATAGGGTTCCGTTAAAGGGGCCTTAGTAATTAGAATAGGGTCCCTTAAAAAGGGGCCTTAATAATTAGAATAGGGTTCCTTAAAAAGGGGCCTTAGTAATTAGAATAGGGTTCCGTTAAAGGGGCCTCAATAGTTGGAACAGGGTTCCTTAAAAGGGGTCTAGAAGGGTTACTATAAGGGAGACTCGAAGTCACCAGAAAGACAAAGTGCACAAACGCGCGACTTTCATAGGGTTCTGGGTTTAGGGTTTAGGGCTCCGTTAATTAAGGAACAGGTACCCCCCAAAAAAAGGATTAAAGTACGGTGCTCCAGAACCCAGTGGCAGGAGAGCCTTACGAGATGCCCACCCCATGGACAGCTTTGTTTCCAGAGTTTGCCAGCGGGACTCTCATGGCCAATCTGCCAGCCCTCATCTTCGAGCAGATTCGGGACGTTGAGCAGCCATTCCTATACTGAACTTGGAACCCTAGCAACAATTGTCATTTTAGCGGTTTCTTAGGGATTACAATGACAAAAAATTGAAAAAAACATTTCGAAGTACCCCTAAGATTCATCGATGGTCTGTGGGCAGACTGCCATGTTCGCCTGCTAGCCTGGCTTCGGTGACCTATATGCTTCTAAGCTGCTTCTACGCTTCTGCAGGCTTGAGCCATATTCCACATGACGAAACTGGTCTTCACTCACCACAAGCTTCATGCGCCAGTAAAGTGACGCTGATCATCAATGCCCTTTGCACACAGCCACATGCAAGGTACCTCTGATATTGAAGGAAACCCTATTTCCAAGCCCTAGAACCTAAACCCCAAACCCCTAAACCGGAAAAAAAAACCCTAAACCCTAACCATAAACCCGTAAACCCTAAACCCCTGCAGCCCAGAACGAGACAGCATTGGCCCGCCTGTAGACTTCTGCGAAGCGCTCGGGTCCTGCTCTGGGCGCCGTTTTGTGGGGCTTTCCGCTTCAATTCTGGGCGGTTCTCTGAACTCGAGTCCCTTTTTAGTGGGCATTCTGAGGGCTTTGATACTTGGAGGTTCTTGGGACTTAGTAAGTAGGGTTTAGGGTTCCCTTTAAGGGTACTACAGAGGATCCTTTTTGCAAAGCTGCTGCACTTTTCCTCAAGATATGGATGCCGTTTTCAGATGGGAGAGTTTGTCCTTTCCATCCTCAATCGCCAAGTCTTGAGGGTCTACAGCAGGGTCTTGCAAACGGCGCCCTGGAGTGAATTTAGCACGAAGCATCAGCACCAGTATAATCATGCACAACCCTCCAAAGCTTGCAACGACTTAAAACGTCCCGGGCTTCTTACAAACAGCGATGTCGAATCAGGACCTCTCCGGTAAAGCCAAACCCCCGAGCTTCAAAATAAGACCCTAAACCCAAAGACCACAACGACCAAAGACCTGGCACCTGTTAACTCTGAAAGCCTATAATCACCGTCGAATCCTTGACTGAAGTTCCTTAAGAAGACTAAGAACCTCTCAATCTAGAGGCCTGAATAGGCCGGCTAGGGTTGGCTTTGGGACATTACACTACGGAAGCCCCAGGCACTGCATTACTGATGATTCAGACCCGTATATTACGCCGTACCGAGACCCCCGTGAGGATCTAGAAAGTAGATCCCCTAATTTGGGGCCCTATACTACTAAGGGTACTTCATAGGAACCCCCCATTAAGGGATCCACTTTGTGGATCCTCCCGGGGGTCTGAATAACTGCAACTCCAAAAACTGTTTACCCTGAACTCCCTGGCGCTTAGTAGGGAATGGGGGAGTGGATCCCTATAGTGGTCCCTTTCTAAACCCCAATAATAGCCCCCACAATCCACGCCCCCATTCCCTGCTAAGCACCAGGCCCTGAAACCAGAAATTCCGAATGCTTCCCGGCCTGAACACGAAATCTTGTCTTTCACGCGCTGCGTCACCTGCGAGGAGCCATGTGGGAGCGAATATACGAATCTCAGTGTATCTGTATTAGACTAGATTTTGGGGTGTAGTATAGTATAGTATGCATATGTAGGGAAGGTAAGGGTGGCAATATTGATTGTGTATTGAAAACACTGCAGACAAAAAACTGAACAAGACGCTTCATACCCTGATAATATAACACCCCCCTCGCCACTAGTAAATCAACTGTACGAGCAAGGCTAGCACTACTACAAACAGAACACCTGGCTAAGCCTGATGATGCCGGCTTTATAGAGCTTAGGGCGCCTTTTTCTGGGTTCGGCGTTCGGGTGTTGAGTTTTCGGGTGTAGGGTGTAAGGCTGTCTCTAAAATTGAGACTTCGGTAAATTTAATTTAGGCGCAACAATCATGCACAAGCCTATAATCTGAGGGCTATTCAAAACGTTCGGTCTTGGGTCTCCTTGGTGAGGGGTCCCGTGGAATGCAGTGGATTTAGGATTTCTAATTTTGGTTTCCAGGAAGACCACCGACTACCAATCCTAAACCCTCCACCTAGCTCGAAACTCAGCACCCCGAAAGCCAAACCCCTCGCAAGAGCAGACCATACCCCTAAAGCCCAAGCCCCTACATCTGCTTAAGGAACCCCTAAAGCCCTGAACCCCAAAACCCTAAAACCCAAAGCCTCGACCATGAACCCTAAACCCTAAACCCTAAACCCCAAACCATGACCCTGGAGGCCCAAGCCACCACAGGCGCCTCTGATAGGAAATCGTCCCAATCAATCTTCCCGTTGCCTGTCTTGTCCCACTCCTGACATGGGTGCTTTGCGCTTCGGGGGTCATGACACAAGGGTTGAGTTTGAGGGCTGGGTTTGGTGCTTGGTTCGGGGTTATATATTTAAACACATATATGTAGATATGCATCTGCAATATTATTTACATTTACTCCGGGTGTGTTACGGAGAGGCTCCAGTATCCTCCGTCCGAAGGTATGAGGCTTGAGGGCTTCGGGTTTAAGGGTTTTTTTCAGTTCACAGTCTCGGGGCCTGGGACCTTGAAAAATGCACGTCGGAGTTTCTGGCCGGCCCACATCGCGTACTGGCATGTATGTCAGTTCCCAATCGAGGCCGGACATTTCCTGAATAGTTTTCACACTTTCACAGAACCCTGGCTCTAGTAAACACAATGCGGTTTCAAAAAGAGAGAATGCACTTTAGTTGTTCTGGTAACGTGATTCAAGGCCCTGGCGAGAACCCACGATATGCACCTTGAACGTTTGGTCCAAGTCGTCATCTTCGTTGTCCTCGGCTCGGACAGGGATACCAGAGCACCCACTTCCGCAAAATGTGCTGCACACTGAACATCATACGAGGGATATCTTCTGACTTGAGGGTATGGGGCTTCCAGAAGTGCTCTTGTCTGAGGATGTGCGGTCGTGACCCGCACACTCTACTCTGCACCGGGTCACCTTTCCTCATCCTGAACCCTAAACCCCTCAAACCCTAAACCTAAACTCCTAAACCCTAAACCCCCAAACCCCAAGCCCTAAACCCCTAAACCCCCAAACCCTAAACCCAACCTTAAAGCTCAACCCTGAACCCAAGGATCTGATCCACCTTTGCCAGTAAACAGCCTGTTGGCTTAGTATACATGATGTAGGGGTCGTTGTTGTTAGGCTAGTGGTTTTGGGGTATACTTTGGGTTCTAGTTACTTAAGGGCTACTTGTGAGGAGTCGAGGATTATTGATAATTCGGGAGTCGAGATTAGGGCTACAGGGGTTTGTCTTTAGCCTTACCCAAACCCAAGAGTCAAACCCACGAGCTGAAACCCACTAACTCCGAAAGCTACGTATGTCTAGTCACGTTTAGGAGGCCCCCTTTCCTTGAGGTATATCTTTCTTAGTTCAAGAGTTTTTGAGTGCGTGGGGATTTGATCCTGGTAATGTTCTGTATCGCTCACCCCACAAAGAGCTGTATTGACTGTTGGCGTGGTTGCCTTCTACAAGCTGGATCACCGTTACTTCCACTTCCACACGCGCACTCCTATGCAGGCAGATCCAACGTTCGCTCGTTTTGCACACTCGCGGCCGGCGGTGGATCGTCTGTGCACGGGATAGCTCTGTCTACTCGGAGGATCACAAAAGATTATAGCACTTTAGCTATGGGCAATGCTTTCTAGAGCTTGTGCTCATTCTTGAGCCAAACGTTGCATGGGCGGTCATACTGAAAGGATGGATAGGCATTGCGGTGTGCGTAGCACTACCACAAGCCTACTCCCAGAGACGAGGGACGCGTGGCGTGCCCCCTTCCCTTGCACTTTACACGGTCTTGCTCACAGCTCTTATAGTGACACCTTAGAACTTGACAAGGCATCGTAGTCCGTTCGCACCCCCCATGAGTTGCGTCTCCGACGCTGCTCACCCGGAAGATGGCACGATAGGAATATCAGAAAATTTGTTCCGCCGCAACTTTGACGTATAGATCAGAGCTTTTGCATCCCAATTAGAAA